TTGCTCCGGGAACTCGGAGATTGTACCAGCAGCAGCAGCAGCAGATGCTCCTCCGGTGATCCAAGCCGTGCTGACTTTAGTGAGGCCGTCATCCACGACCGAGATCCAGCAACAGTCCAATCCAGAAGTCGCCGGAGGAGAAGGGGCTTCTTTACCCGCACAGCCGCTGTCGGGAAATCAAAACGCGACCAGTGGAAGAAGACTTCTCAGTGCACTGCTTTGGGAGGAGCGCAACTTAGATGGTCCGGATCAGGGGCTGACGGAGGGATGGGTCGCATTTGGCGTCACTGCTCCGATCCACTTCGACCACTCGAGGAGCCAGTCCGTGGCCAGCGAGCTGAACAGGGTCGGCTTCCACCGTCCGAGCGCATCACTGGACGCTCCACCGGAAGCAGCAGCAGCAGCGGCGGCGGCGGCGGCAGCTCCCACTCGGAGTTTAAGTTCGTTGATCACTTCCACGCCGAGTTCTCGAGATGCTGGTACCGCCACAGTTCCCGAGACTCCAATGCGGGTGTCTCTCATGTCCTTGCTCCGGGAGGCCGAGGAGGGAGGAAGCGGGATCATCTTCATGAACAGGCAGATGATAGACAGGAACAGTGGTGGCGGTGGCGGTGGCGGTGCTGGCGGCGTAGCTTTCGAGTCCCCGGCCAAGGAAGCCACAGGACTCACAGGAGGAGGAGGATCAAACGTAGTAACAGGGGACGGGATAACGATGGAGCAGACGTGCTGCGTTTGTATGGGACGCCAAAAGGGGGCGGCCTTCATACCGTGCGGCCATACCTTTTGTAGGAGGTGTTGTAAAGAGCTCCAGCAAGCAAGAGGGAGCTGTCCACTTTGCAACAAGGAGATAAGCGACGTCCTCAATCTTTACTGAGCGATGGTGGTAAGCTTTTGGAGCTCTTGGTTTTTTTTGTCTCGATCTTTGCTCTAGCTTGTGACAGATCAAACCATGGCCTGGGCCTTGCAGGAGGATTGAATGATCGAAGTCATTTTTTTGGCAACGATTTCGATTTCTCGCTCGAGCTGGACTGAGACGATGGGTGTCAAAAGACGCGAAAGCTCCGTACTGCTGTTGGTCCTCGAGCCTGGGAGTCTCGACGGTGGTGATTCTGCCACGTTTCAGAAACCAACGGCCAGGATGTCGTGATTAGGATATGATTTAAAATTTTCGTGCTGTGCTAATGCGAGAAGAATCAGAACGAAACTAGTGAAGGCAACGCTTGTAGATTCTTTTCTTTGCTTGGAAGTGTCCATCATGGCTCGCGCCCTTGTAGCTACGAGAATTGCCTAGGGTTCTTGATCAGGTGATTGCCCTCTCTGGTTAGGAGATGGAGATGGAGGCGCCCGAGAGCGGCGGATATGTGGAGCTCTTCGTGCGGAATATCAGCTACCAGGCAAGCGTCGAGCAATTCGTGGAATTTCTTGAGGGCGTGATCGGGCGCGAGAGTGTGATTTCTTGCGAGCTGCTCAGCAACGACAATGGCCGCTCCAAAGGCCGGGCGATCGTCAAGCTTTCGACGGAACACGCCGCGGTGGTGCTGCATAGAGCTGGGCTGGGCCTGCGATTCGCTGGAAGAAAACTCGTGGCCAATGTAAGCAACAGGGTCCAGCCCAACCCGCAGCATCCAAATGCCCGGGCAGGGAGCGCGAAGCTCTACTGTGGGAATTTGGCCGAGGATCAAACAGTGGAGTATCTGTGGTGCTCGTCCCAAGCCAAGGCCGAGTTTTTCTTCTCGGACCCTGTCAAGGTGGAGCTTCTTGTCGACAGCGACTACAAAATGGAGATCATATCAAGCAGCATTGCCTCGCTCGAGAGCTGTAAGATCTCTCCCGAGAATTCTCCAGGCCTCGTGTTCCAGGTAATCTTTCTAACTTCGACTCAAAGATTTTCTTTGCTGTCTTTCACTTTTTCTTTCCAGCTCTACTATCCTCCTCGCGTCTACAAGCGACTCGAAAACTCTTGCAGCATTTTCTCATACTCCAGAGCAGATATCTGCGACGACTATCTCTGGGCTCGCGCCACCGATTTTACTCCTGACAGTGCACTTGGCCAGTCGGTGGTGTTCTGCCTCGAGCTCCCGGATTCTTCCCAAGACGAGCTACGCAAGATCATCCAGAAGTTTAATGACTACAACTTGGGCGACTATCCTCCTCGCTTCAGACGAATGGTGTTGAGGAGAGGCCAGCCTTTTTCAGTCCGTCAGCTAGCCGTGCCGGTTCTCAGCTCGACCTGTGGATTTGATCTTCCTTTGGAGGTGGAGTTCAAGGTAAACTATTTGATCCAAAATGGCCACGTCAGTCCAGCAGGTCTTACACGTGAGTTCTTCGGCTTGCTATCCGAGAACACGCCAGCATGGTGCCTCTCGGCTTTGAGCAATCTCGAAAGGTGCGAAAAGACGTGCTTAAATCCCGCAAGTCAGATCCGAAACTATATGAGGACCACCAACAGAAGACGCGAGAGGTATCTTGGGGCTGTAGCCGCAGATGAAGGCCAGATATATGTCAAGCGTGTGCTCGTCACTCCTCTCAAAGTCTACTTCATCGGACCTGAGCTCGAGGAGTCGAATCGCGTGACAAGGCATTTTTCTCACAAGCTCGACAACTTTCTCCGCGTCACTTTCGTCGACGAGGACTTTGATTCGCTCAGCTCTTATGTTCTCAGCTCGAGCAGGGGGAGGACGAACACTGAAGTCTACTATCGGCTGCTGGCTATACTACGGCTCGGCATAAAGCTCTGCGGCAAAGACTTCCAGTTTCTGGCTTTTTCAGCGAGCCAGTTGCGTGAGAATTCGCTCTGGATGTTTGCGGACGACGACGAGGTTACCGGCGAGTACATCAGGCAATGGATGGGTGACTTCCTCTCGATCAGAAACGTGGCAAAGTGCGCAGCAAGGATGGGCCAGAGCTTCTCCACTTCAACTCGTACTTTGGACGTGCCTCGGGGAGAAGTCCGTCAGCTAAGCGACGTAGAAACCTTCACCCCGGAGGGTCATAAGTATTGCTTCTCGGACGGGATAGGGACCATCTCGACAGAGTTTGCGACTCGAGTCGCGAGAAGGTGTCGCGCAAGCACCGTCCCTTCGGCATTCCAGATCAGATATGGAGGGTACAAAGGCGTTGTCGCTGTGGATCCGGCCTCTTGCTTCAAGTTATCGCTACGACCAAGTATGTCCAAGTTTCCGTCCGAGCAAACTACTCTGGACGTTCTGGAGAAGACGCGCTACATTCCCTCCTATCTAAACCGCGAGATTATCTCCCTGCTTTCGACACTGGAAGTCCCTGACGAAGTCTTTGAGCGAATGCAAGCGCACCAAGTAGAGCTTCTCGACAGGATGCTGCTGGACTCGGCAGCTACTTACGACGTTCTCAGAGTTTTATACGCTGGAGAGTGCCACAAGCTGCTGGTCTCAATGGTGCTCGCTGGTTTCAGTCCGGTCACTGAGCCTTACATGAGAAGCTTGCTACAAGCTTTCAGAGCGGCGCAGCTGCTATCTCTCGAGAAGAAGTCTCGTATCTTCGTTCCAAAAGGAAGGCTACTTATGGGGTGCTTGGACGAGCAGCGAGTGCTTCGGTATGGACAGTGCTTTGTGCAAGTCTCACCACTACAGGGTGTGCCGGTGGAAGAAGAGATTCACTGTGACAGGGGAGTTACTGCCAGGAACCAAGCGTTTGCGGTGACAGGATCTGTGGTGGTCGCAAAGAATCCATGCCTTCATCCAGGAGACGTGCTGGTACTCGAAGCGGTTGATGTTCCGGAGCTTCACCACATGGTCGATTGCATTGTTTTCCCTCAACAAGGACCACGGTCAGTTCTCGTTTCTGTTGTCATATCAGTTCTCTGTGTGCTACTTTTACAGGCCTCATCCAAACGAGTGCTCGGGAAGTGATCTCGACGGCGACCAGTACTTCGTGAGCTGGGATAGCGCACTTATCCCTCCAAAGCGACATCCACCGATGAATTACGAAGCCCCGCCTGCCATGGAACTGGATCACTCCGTGAGGCTTGAGGTAATTTTGTTGGAAAAATGTTTGTCCAGCAGTCTATCCCGTGGTTTACGTTCTCAGGAGATTCAAGAGTTTTTTGTGAACTGGATAACAAGCGACAGCCTCGGAGTGATAGCACACGCCCATCTCGCTCTCTCGGACTGGTCAGAATTGCAAACCCGGGATCCAAAGTGCATGGAGCTGGCGAGACTCTACTCGGTAGCAGTCGATTTCCCAAAGACCGGAGTTCCAGCCGTTATGCCACCGGAGCTCCGCCCCGAGCAGTATCCCGACTTCATGGAGAAACGGAACAAGAGGACATACATATCCACACGCGTCATCGGAAAGCTCTACAGATCCATCCGAGAAAGCCACAGGGACACCAACACGAGCCCTCTGGTGTCCGAGCGTTCATTCGACCAGCAATACGATCGGGCGCTCGTCGTCCAGGGGTACCAGAGTCACCTGGAAGAGGCAAAGTTCTTCAAGGAGTGCTACAATAGCAAGCTGACGAGCATTCTCAATCACTACAAAGTTAGCGAGGCCGAGATTATGAGTGGAAGCATCCGGAGTTTGGCGAGGTACTCGAGGAGGAGGCAGGGCGACGCCATGGCTCGAGTGGTGCTGGCTGCAAAGGCTCTGGTGAAGGAAGCTCGGGGATGGTTTGACGATGGTGGCGAGATCACTGAGAACGAGGCCTGTGCCAAGGCTTTTGCGTGGTATCACGTAACTTATCATCCGGAAGCCAGGAAGGAGAGTGATCTCCTAAGTTTTCCATGGGTGGTCCTTGTGGCGATTAAAAAGAGGAACTCCGCGAGATCATAATATTTTACCTACTAAAAAATTGGATTTTTTTTTAAACTAGGGTTTTGTGGAAATAGAAATATATCAATATATTATATTTGTATAGATTTGCTTTATTCAGTAAAATGCATTGCATTTTAACCCGTTAGGTTCAGAAAACACAAACTATGTTTCCTTAAATACTAAAGTGTTTGCCAGCCTGGTCATCTGTAATGGCCTATTTCTGTAAACACCAACACAAACAAGTTCAAATGAAAGCCATCAATGTTGTTGTGTTCTTTTTAGTTGTATGCTTTTAATTGTCACAAGCTGCTTGATCTAATTCTAATGAAAATTGTTGTGCTATTTAAGGATTGTTTATCTTTGGAGATTCAGCTTTAGATGCTGGGGAAAACACTTACATTCTGGGCTCTAGGATTATGAGTGCTGTTCTGCCATATGGGAAATTGTACTTTGACGGTTGTTGGACACATGGTTACACAATAGGGGATTTTCTTGCTCAGGCATTTGGGCTTCTGTTGTTTCTGCCATACCTCCAACCTGGAACCAACTTTAGCAGTGGTGTCAACTTTGCATCTGCTGGAGCAGGCTTGTTGGATGAAACAAATACTCATCAAGTAAACTTTTATATAGATTCTCGTGGTGTAGAAAAGATACTAATACTTCTTTTGTATTAAGGAGTTCCTTCCATGAAGCAATAGCTGCACCAGTTCTGCAATGTCACAGATGGGTATAAAAGGGTTGGAGGAGCAGACTCTACTATTGAGTTCTTGAAGAACTCATTAACTATGTTTAGTATGGGAGTGAATGATATAACTAATGTTATACTTGAAAACTTACTACTCTTTTAAGAGATGTTGAATACTTACTTTCATGCAATCTTAAGTTAGGTTATGATTGAATATTGTAATTTTTAGATTTGCAAGAGATTTATAATTAAGGTATTAAATATATCCTCCTCTTTTTGGCATCACCATTAGGATGCATTCCAAATTTGAGATTTCTTTTAGCACAAAATGAAAATATAAACTTACCAAAGGGTTGCATAAGTGGTATTAACATTCTTATCAATTACTATAATGCCTAGATTCAAAATCTTGCAATCAAAATTCACAATGACTACCACACTTTAAACATTGTGACATTGAACCCAACAAGTACTGTCTTAATTGTCTTGAACAACTCTGACATATATGGTAAACTTGATTGATTTTTTGCTTTTCTCTTTTTGATATAATTCAATGATCTTAAGTTTTAAAGACGCAAAAAAAGCATGTTGTGGCAGTGGTTCATTTAATGCAATAGAGCTTTATACTAATGTTGATAAACATGATTGGAAGCCAAATCACAAAAATAAATACTAACAATCTGTCTTTACTAAAGTTAGGAACTAAATGATGTTGAGGAATTTTTTGTATAAATCTTGCCATAACAAAGCCTAATAACCTTAATTTCTTCCTCTTTAGATTTACAATCCTAAACCCACCACCAAAGCCTTAGAAAGAGTTTAGTTTTTTATATTGGAATTATTTAAAATAATATAAATACATCATTTTGTACAGTAGAATTTTCTTAACTAAACGTTGAATTAAACAATTAATAATTTGACAAAAATGATGACATGATTTTCAACTATGACTTGTAGAAACTACACGTAACCTCGAATCTCATAAGTGCGACTTCATGCATTAGCAGAATTCCAATCCAATGATGCGTCTCTGGTTCCAAGTTTTTCTCGCAAATTTGGTTCTCTCTGTGCTAGCATCAACATCCAGCGCAGACTTGGAGGATTCATTCGAGCAACTCTTCCCGGAACACCTCCGGGATTTTCACCCATGCGCTTCCCTGCCGAAGAACTCTGCCGAGAGGAGCGTTTGCAGTCTCCTGTCAGCGACGAGCAAGCAAATCTCCCTCCTCAAATCGCGAAGCATCTCCAATTCCGACACCACTGCATACAACTTCACGAACAAGAGTAGCAGCTGCAAATACAAGGATGAAAACGGGCCATCGCTCCACAGGTACGCCACCGAGAGATCACCCGAGCTCGCAGCGCTGCTCGATCGCTACGCCCAAATGCACAGTCTGTGCGTGGAGGCCGAGTACCACCGGCTGCACGACGCGCGGTACCGCCCGGCGTGCCGCTACGTCGTGTGGAGCTGCACCTTCGGCCTGGGCAATCGCCTCATGTCGCTCGTCTCGGCCTTCCTCTACGCCATCCTCTCACAGCGCGTCCTCCTGGTGGACAACGATGGCTGGGAGAAGCTCTTCTGCGAGCCATTCCCAGGCTCTACGTGGAGGATGCCGCGCGGCATGCACTCCTCTTCTAGCCAGGCCTCCAGCTTCTCGGCGTTCTACAAGAGTAGCGCTAGATCTTCCTCCAATTGCGCCAAGAACTCCTCGAATTGCCATCGATCTTCACTCCCGCGAGCGGTCCCTCTCGCCTTCCGATCCAAGACCGATCCAGCCGAGCACAAATTCCTCGTCTGCCCGTCCGCCACCAGATCCCTCCGCGAGATCCCGGTGATCTACTTCAAGAACAGCAACCAGTACTTCGCGCCGGGATTCTTCCTCAATCCCGCATTGCAGCCGGCGCTGGCGGCGCTGTTCCCATCCCGCCGTGTCTTCCACGATCTGGGCAGATACCTCCTGAATCCCAGCGATTCCGTGTGGCCGCGCATCGCCCGGCTCCATAGAACCCTAATCGCCGGCGCGACGAGGAGCTTTGGCGTCCAGATCCGCGACTTCGAGCGAAAATACACGAGCTACTTCGACACCACGGTCCCGCTTTGCATCCAGCAAAGAACAGGAATATGCCCGATCGAGGAGGAGGATCAAAACAAGGGAGAATATACGCTCTCTGTCTACGTGGCAACGATGGTCGCCGGACACGTGGCGGCGATCAACGCCACGCTGGCGGCGAGCGGTCTCCGGTTCAAGCTCGGGCACCAGCGCGCTGACGGGGCGCAGCTCGATGACGTGGGCCACCAGGAGAAGGCCGTGGCGGACATGTGGCTGCTGAGTCACGCTGACGTGTTGCTGACGAGCGGCATGTCCACGTTCGGGTACACCGCGCAGGGGCTGGCGGGCGTGGTGCCGTACAGGCTCACGCACTGGCCCAAAGATCCGTGCCTGGTGGCCGTGTCCAGCGACCCGTGCTTCCATTTTGGGCCACCCAAGGGTATGCGCTGTGACGAGGATGGGTTTGGACTTGGCGAGGACAACGCGCGGGGGACCCAAAATGTGGTGTGGCCTTGCAAAGATTTTGCTGGCACGGGATTGCAACTCGTGGAGACTTGACATGAGGATTTTTCTTTCCTTTTGGGACGAGATGCTTTGACAAGAAGGACAAGGAGTTCTGGAGCATATCCGTGTTTGTCATCTTCGATCAGCGGTCGACCTCCATTTTGTATTGTCCAACTTTGCGAATAATGGGATATCTTGAAGTTCCAATTACTGGAGTTTTATATATCCTTCTTTGTAATATGCTTCATGGCACTTTGCGCGGTTGAGAGGGTGACGAGCATATGGCACAACGACAAGAGGGTAGTGAGATAGATGAGAGAGGAGTTGTCGCTAGAAGGCGAATAAGAACCGAATCCTTTCTTTGACCAAAAGCCCTAGTCATTTGAACATCAGGATTGTTGTAAACATTATAGCAGCAAATGCCGAAACTAAGCATGTTGTGTTTGGCAATGCCATAGAGAAGCATAGTTAGAATCTTCTAAAACATGCTAAACAACAATCACTTCAAAGCCATCAAAGTTGACGTGGTTTATTAAACTATGAACCAGTTTAATGTATGGCTTTACAGTTTAGTATTATACAGTAGAATGATTTGAAAAATTTATCTTGTCAAAGTCAGGAATTTCTAGAGGTGGTGTTGCTTGCTTCTGGACACTTTCCTGTTGGGACCTTCTACAAGAATACTGTGAGCTCTCATTTTTGGTTAACACCATTTCAAAGTCTACGTTTGAATCTTTTATCCACCAGTCGCAGTTCAAATGTGAGACGCAGCTTTGCTCGTATAAATAGGCGAGTTGGAGAAAGCAATTCTCGCAGCTCCAATCCATTTCCATTCCTTTCCATTGTGAGAAAGCAGGAAGAGTTTTTGGAAGCCATGGCCAACGTGAAGCATCATCAGGTGGAGGTGAATGTTTCCATCGACCGGATGTGGGGAGCATTCCAAGACATGCCCCATTTGCTCAGCAAGATCGTCCCCGAAGGGATCAAGAGCGTCGACAAGAAGGATGGAACCGTCACGATCCACTTCGCGCCTGGTAAGCTCCTCAGTAGTCTATGATCACATATGATAGACAAGTTGGATCGAATTGTTTCTTCAGCCATCGCCGAGAAGTATGGAGACTACGTCAAGGAGAAGGTCGAAGTCGATCACAAGACCAAGACCCTGGTGACCGAGATGCTGGAGGGCGCAGGGCTGGGCAAGAAGTACACCTCCAAGAAGCTTGTGACTTGTCTCAAGCCGGGCAAGAGCGCGAGCTCCACCCTCGTCTCGTGGGACGTCCACTGCGATCCAGTCGGCGAGGACGCGGCCGAGGAAGCCGAGAGCCTCTCCACGCTCAAGAAAGTGGAGGAGCACCTCGTCGCCAATCCTTCTCTCTACGCTTGAGAAGAATCAAAGAGATTGCAATAAAGGATTTGGGTTTGTGAGAAATTTTATACAAAAATTTTGAAAAGAAAGATTTGGGTTTCATGCGAATTTTGTCCATGTTTTCTGCTTCTAGACAAAAAACAAAAAAAACAATCCATGATTAAAAAACGGTGGTTGACAGAAAAGAAATTGACGTTGAGTTAGAATGGTTGATGGAGAAACCACTGTATATTTCTAAGAAAGTGTGATTAAAACGAATGGAGATTTCTAAGAAAGCTCGAGCCGGCACAAGAGTACTCGCAGGCGCCCCCCGTCGGTGATTAAAATGATTAAAACAGAATTGGTTGATAGAAAAAAAATTTGGACCATTTCTCGATTTGTGCGTGTCATCCTTGCGCAGGGGCCATGCTAATCTTCTCTGTATCGTTCCAATTTTATCTGGTGTCTCCGAAGAGACATGAACTTTACATCACCCAACACTATATATAGAAAATATTTGCAAATTCGCTTGGGCAAGTGGGATAGGGCTTTTTCGAGCCCTAGGCCTACAGCATATTCTGCCCTAGAGGATATTCTACTTTCTCCCACCTCTTTTTCTAGGGCATGGCGCTGCTAGGCGAGGAGTTTAGAGGCGCGGCGTTGGAGATGGCGCGGGCGTGGGAAGCGTGCACTGATATGCCGCTTTGGCAATGGCGATCTTTCCGCCATCCTCATGGGCTGCCACCACCCGATTCGGTAATTTTGTTCTTTTTCTCCGAGGATCTCCACAGTCGGCACAGTAGATTTATGTCTTTTCCCGCAAATTCGCTTGCTAGTGCTCTCAATCAGTGATGTGGAGCAAACTTGCGAGCTCTTTCCTGTCTCCTCTCTTTTTGCCACTGTGATTGAATTGTGATTGTTTTCGTCTCCTCTTTTCTGCCTTTTGTGTGTCCGTTCGAGACGTTGTTTTTCTTATCTATATCTACCACTGGTTCTCTTTCTTTTAAGGAGTTTCCTTCTTATTCTTTCCTTGTCTTTGCTATATAGCACAGCGTTTACGTTGATTCAGTTTTGTTTTTCTAAACTTTCGCTGTCACAGGCTGGAGGATATCTTGTTCTTGAGGATGTTCCCGTAGATAGCGAGTACAATGACGAAGCTCCGGAGGTAACGAACTCTTGCTAGATCGAGCGAGATCTTGGATCCAGACAAAGGAGCTTCTCTGTTTTTGTTTTGGTTTCTATAGGACGATGGTCCGACTACCAAAGAAGCTTGTCGTGACGACATTGCGACGGTGAGTACTTTCACAGCACACGCTTGGGTTTGTCGTCGAAAGACTAAACTTTTGCGCCTTTAGGCTGACATCGAGGCACCTCGAGTACATTTCTACACATATCATATTCTCTACAGTGATTCATACGGAGTTCCAAGGCTGTTTTTCAATGTTCGGCTTCCAGGCAAGCTTTTCCCCTTGTCCTGAATTCGTTTTTCTTTTTTCCCTTGTGTTTTTAGTATTTCTTTGAAATGATTATTCTTCTGTTATGTTTTGCAAGAATACAGATGGCAGACAGTTGGATTTGGAGCAAGTACAGAAAGACCTGCCACGCTCGTCCTGCGAGGAGCTTAAAAGGCACCGTTGGACTTTCCTCACTCTCGAGGTAAATAAAAGAAAAAAAAAAGAGTTTTTTTTTTCTCTCTCTCTTTTTTTTTTTTCCCGGGACAAAGTTCATCTGAGATTTGACGGTATTCCAGGATCACCCGTATTTGCATAGTCCGTGGTTCACATTGCATCCGTGCGGAACAAGTGGCCTAATGACCTCTATATTCCCCGTCGCAAGCTCCGAAACCGAGAGAAGCGGAATCCATTTGCATCCTCGAGTGTCCCGCAAAGTTGAAAGTGGCAGTGGCCTCCGATACCTGCTGGCCTGGCTCTCATTCTCGGGGGAAGCTGCGGGGCTAAAGATATCGTCCCAGACATTCTCAAAACTTATATCGCATTTAAACCAAGAGAAAAACGAGAACAACAGCAGGGTGGAGTAAGTGGACAACAGCATCGCTTCTCTTTGCTTCAATAAAGAAGACGAAGAAGATGGGAAAGGAAAAGTGGCCAAGGCCAATTTTTACAAAACAAAGCACACTCTCTGGTGACTGTGGTGACTCTGGGGGCTTGGGACTTACTTCGGCTAGACGGTGTAGGCGTCCGCATTGGCCTGGAGGAAAGCCTCCTCTGCCTTGAGGAGGTCGACGAGGCTCGACTTGATCTGCTCCAGCGGTGGCTCGCCGATGGGCTCGTAGTCGACGCTGATGCTGAGGAGAGTGGTGGTGTCGTCCTTGCCTGGCTTGAACGCCGCGGTCCTCTTGAAGGACGTGAAGTGCTGGCCGATGGCACCACCCTCGAGCGCCGACACCGTCATGGTCTTGGACTCCTCGTCCACGAACTCCACCTTTTCTTTCACGTATGGAGCTCCGAAGACCGCCGCTGCAGCTGGAACAAGCGCGGCCAAAACAAAGTGTGAGAAAAGGAATTCAAGCTATCGCTACTGTAAGTCTCTCTTTCTTTCTACTCTCTCTACTTGTTCTTATTAGTGTCTTTGGACAGAGGGAAGAAGACAACTGCGAGAGAGAGAGATATATATAAGTTGGCTGTGCTGTTTTACCGGGTCCGAATGTCAAGAGCCGGACGCTTCCGGTGCCGCCGGTTCCTTCCAGCAGCTCGATGCTCTTGATCTTGTCCGGGATGATCTTTGGGAACAAGTTGCTGCTATCTTTGAGCGCGTTCCACAGGCGGTCGGAGCTGGCATTGAGCTCAACATCCTCAAAGGTCGTGGTCACCATAGCTGCTGCTGCTGCTGCTGCTGCTAGCAAAAGAAACCAGAGAAAACCAACGTCGCCGGTCGAAGAGACCGGCAAGAAGATCGAAAACACTCAATCAAAACGAGCGAGCAAGCGAGCAAGCGAGCGAAGAAGAAACAAGACGAAAGGAAGGAAGAAAGTGGCGAGGGATCGGAGGGGCGGGGGCGAGTTAATATATGCGAGGGGGACGCGAGAGAGAAGTTCCAACAGTACAGCAGCAAGGGGCCCATGACGCACACACAAAGCAGCCAAGTTCAGTGATTCCAATTAGCGCTAGCTCCTAATTTCTTTGCTTAACTTACTGTTTCTTCTTCTTTTAGTTTTGTGAAACCAAAGTGCAAAGAGCGATCATTCTGTCCCAATGGCGAGCAACACAGCGAGTATATTATTTTTCTAGTGCTCCACTTGGGAGGTAGCTTAGACATTGTTAAAATCCTCTCTGATCACAGTCTCTTTTTGGTATTGGCTGGTCCTCCTTAAAAAGATTCTCTCTTTTTTCTCCTTTATCTTTTCCTTTTTTCCATTTCGGACTCTTTTTCGAATAGTTTAGGATTAATAAGTCAAATAAAATGTTTGGTTTTCTTCTTTCTTCATGATGGCTGGAGATCGCTCGCTTGCGCTTGTGCTGCCAGAGGAATTCCGCCCGTGCTGGAGTTTCTCATTGCCGCCTTCTCTTGGGGAGGAATCTGAGATTTCTTTCTTTCCAACACCAAAAAAGAAAAACAATGTTTTGATTCCTAAAAACCACCGGAAAAACGTCCTGTCCGAAGTCAAACCATTTGTTAATTCGGCGAATAAAGCAAAATGTAACACAAATGGCAGGCACTTACGAAATAAATATGTACTAGACATATCTGGAAAAGCAAAGCAAAGTGAATAGAAGATAAAAGAGCAAAAGCTACCAGAATATATTCTCACGCAGAGAGGAGATATCATTCTTGTCATGCTCTAGAGGGTACCACAATGACATCATTTTGGTGTCATCATACAAGCTTACCTGTGAATGCGTATCAACTAATCCTTGGAAAAAAAAAAACGAAAACAAACGTCCTTACTCACAGTAATAGAGTTTCTTTCATTTTCGCGAAGCTCCAAGCCCTCTGTGCATCAAGAACAAGGAATTAGCTTTGAGTTTAGTAAAACTCTCTTTCTCTCTTTCTCTCTCTCTCTCTCTCTCTCTCTCTCTCTCTCTCTCTTTCCCTGTAGGGACTGTCTCCATCTCGGGCACTCTCGCTATCACTGCTCTCGCAAACCCGAGAGAAATGGAAATCATACCTGAGCACACTCGCATCTTTCATGCGTGGAGCTGTGTCGTCTCGCCGAACTGAGCCTCCTCCACGCCACTGTTGTATTCCTCATTGTGTGACAGCAAGTATGCCTCGATCGCGTGGAATGTCCCCAGCGCTCCCATCTTCGACTCCTCCAAGGACGGGCTCTCCACAAGGGGCTCGTACTCGAGCCTCCAGGTGATGGTCGTGCTGGAGCCATCGCCGCTCGGTTCATACGAGACTGTGACGCGGTACAGGCTGAAAACGATGCCGATGAATCCTCCATCGATGACGGAGGTGACCGTGGTGTAGTTTGCCTCGTCCACGGACTCCACTCTCTCCTTGATAAACTTCACCATTGGCACGGCTGGTATGAAAGCACTAACAGGATCAATAAACGCATTTGAAACGAGCTTGCTTTCTTTTCTTTTCTTCACCTGGTCCAAAGTTGAGGATCCTTACGCTGCCTGCCGACCCGTCCCCCTCCAGGCTTTCGACTGTAGCGAAGACCTCCGGCATCACCTTTGGCAGCAGCACGCTGCTGTCTTTCATTGCTGCCCATAGACGTTTGAGAGGCACTTGCACGACAGTCTGCACAGATTCCATTGCTACCATTTCTCAAGAATCCTGCAGCAAGAAACTCTCAGTACACCGGCGATGCGAAACTTCTGCCCCAAGGCAATGCTTACCCGATCCAAAGATACACGTATTTATTCACACTTCTGACGGCGAAAGAAACTGCGAATTTTTTTTGGTGCGGAGTCAAGCTTCTCCACCGCCAACTACCTTGTAGTAGCACTGCCACAAACGTCTCGATTCAGAATAAGTCCACGACAAAGTCGAATATTCAAGAGTAACTTGCCTGTATTTTAAAGGAGAGGCAGCCTTCTACTGACAAACCGTATTGCATAGCAACTTCTTGATGCTCACAGTCAACAGCAGCCGTGGCCACATGCACCGTCGCCTGCATCAAAATTTCTAAAGAAACGAAACAAGTTTGTCAGCACCGCTGCGTTGCCAGCTTTCATTCGCGTCAAAAGTTGATTGTGTTCGTTCTAGTAAGAGAGGTTACACGGTCCGCGGCCGCTTCATGCCGGACTCTTGTGTCTGTGAGACATCAGAGTCTGCTTGACCAAACGCAATGGACTCCGGCAGCATAAAACTCAGACAAAGCATGGTCTGCAGAAATAACAAGAATTTAATTCTCAGAAAGACCACACCATGAGCAAGAGTTTACCTTGTTTGGTGCAACCAAACGCACTGTCCAAATCGATGCTCCAGGTAAAGATCCTCTGATAGTGTTTTCAGCAATCTGGAAAAGATCAAGCCAGATATAAAGAACAAAAGACAAGAATTACGAACATTCATAATGTCAGCAGTTGTTTGTTTGGCTCTCAAAAAGCAGTAGCAGTGGACACACGGCATCGAGCCTTTCCAGGAATCCTTTGAAAGCAAACCTCTGAAGGTGTCTGTACGACTGTGAGCACGGGAAAGAAAACATCGCTAGATGATTACCTAGGAACGTTAAAGCTGAGGCCGGCAAGTTCATCACAACGTGATCAAAGTGCTCCCATGGCTTAGCTTCAACTACGTCTGAATGCACCGCATTTGTTTGCTTTCTTTTAACTTTAGCCTTAAGCGTATCTGCAATAGACGAACACAATGCATTGAGGATAAACTCAGTCGTAAAGACTTCTTACCTGAGTCTTGTCTATCTGAAACACCGTCCCTTGATGTGTTTCCCTCGTCAGCTTTGTTCAGAGCATGGGCCATTGCTGTTGCTGGATTCACCAGTTCCTTCATAAATTCTCGAGCGTCCATATTGTAAGCGACGATCCTGTTGCCGACCTTGTTAACGTCGGCATTTTTGAGAAGGTATTCCACACTTGCAGGATTGAGATCGTTCGCATAGACCAAGCATCCCTTCTGTGCAGCTGGTATGGCAAAGGGCCCGACCCCTGCGAACATATCACAGATCACCTGGCCAGGCTGAAACTCGGACACAAGCCGCTTGTGCTCGTGTTCAAGCCTTGAGTTCCAGTAAACGAGGCCGTAATTCAGGTGGAAAATGGCACCGTACTGCTTCACCTCTGTAACCATATTGTCCTCTCCGGCCAAAAGCTCAAAGCTCGGAACACGGAACTCGTTCTTGATAGTGCCAACTTTGTTAAGCACAGTTTTCAGCTTTGGATTCTTCTGCAAAGCAAACATGCCTCGGGACGTGGCTTTGGTGAAATATATCAAAACTTACGTCAAGTAGAACCTTGCCAATCAGTTTTTTGTAAGGGAGATGCTCATCTCGGAGGTTAAGATGTGCAATATGTCCTGAAAGTTTCACTGTCAGCGTGAAAAAAAAGTAGAAAGAAAGAAAATACCAATTGTCTCGAAACTACTCGGCACCTCACAAGTTTTTGGAAGAATCTCTCTTAAAACGTGATCTGTGAAGTCTCTGTCAGAGAAAAGCCATCAAAAGAAAAGGAAAACAGCGTACCTGCGGACCAATGCTCGTAACTTAGTAGAATCTCATGCGGAGTCACGTCGAGATCGACAAGATCTTTAAGAGCGTTTAACTTCTCATCGGGAATTTCGTGCAAGCCTTCCTTTACCAGAGCAAGAAAGAGATGGAAGCTAAACAAGCAATAGAAATGTGAGACTACTCACTTGGATCTTTCACCGATTCTGAGAAAATCACTAGCCGAGACTCCGCATCAGCTGGATCATTGACGATGTGCTTCACTCGCGGCTTGTCGATGACATAGCTGAGGAAACGAGAGATTCCTTCACAATCTCGAGAATACGCATCGGATTCACTCACCCGGCGAGCAATTTCGACACCTGACCGCACAGCCGCTTTGGAACGCGCAATGCTTGCAGCCGAAGGCTCTGCGCAAACCTAGATTCATCCAGGAAGAGCTCCGCCCGCTCCTCCGCCATAGCGGGAAGCACTAGGGCTTTGCAAACCTCCATCTTCGCGTTAAACCCCAAGCGGAATCTCTCATGCGAACGCCGGAATATGCCAATTTAACAGAATGTCTGCCAGAATGTACCGTGGTATATAACTAGCGGCAGTACCCTATATAACGCAATGGCGAGTGCGGCTATGGTGTGAGAGCTCGACGTAGGGTTAGCGGCTCCGCCACGAATCTCCTGGAGCTCGCGCCTCGAAGATTGGATGATCTACTTGAGCGGCAGGTTTGGCATTGCTATCCTCTAGGAATCAAGGCGCCGCGCAGCTGTGGTGAGCGATAATCTGAAGTCTTCTCTCCCTCGCAGGATTAGAACCCTATAACGCACCAAGAACGCGAGCGCGCGCCTGCAAACCCTAGGATAGGGCTTCCCGGGGAAATGGCGACTACTGCCACAGTCGCGGTCACGACAGTCGGTCCCCCTTCCGCGCCGCCGCCGCACACCTCCGAGGAGGAGATCGCCAAGAAGAAGAACACCGATTGCGTCTATTTCCTGGCATCGCCTCTTACATGCAAGAAGGTATTGTTTTGTCTTTCTTTCTTCTTTGGTGATCCTGGTGGTTCTTGTTCATCGGCATTTTCTTTGACTGTCTGCAGGGCGATGAGTGTGAATTCCGGCACAGCGAGAGCGCCAGGCTGAATCCCAGAGATTGCTGGTATTGGGTGGGCGGGAATTGCCGCAACAGGGAGTGTCCATTTCGCCATCCGGTATGTTTTCCACTCATCTTTCGCGTACTTAGGAATTTTTTCTTTTTTGTTTGCTATGATGCTAGATTGATCGAAGTAGAAGCTGCTCTGCTCTTTGTTTTTTTTTTTTTCTTTTTTTTTCTTTGGTCTTCTCTCTTTGTTTGCTAATTATTCCGTTCTTCATTTTCTCGTACAGCCTATAGAGAGTCGCCCAGCAGCAGCTGCTCCGCCACCAACACCACCCGTGCCAAAGAAACCCGTCCCGTGCTTCTTCTTCTCCCAGGGCTGCTGTGCCAAGGGAGCCAAATGCCAGTTTCTTCACGAGGGTCCGGCATCAAATGCGATGGTGTACAGGCTCTCCGATTCCTCCAAACCAGCAACACAGGATTCCAGCAAGCCCAAAGTGGAGCCATCGACTGTGGAAGCCACTCAACTGCAGCAGCAGGGTAGCACAGGATCGCAAACTCCTGACAAGAGGAAAGACAATGTCTACCGCCTCCAGGATGGTCCGAGGAAAGGGAAACTAGCAGCACCAGCAGCAGCAGGACCTTCCAGGGAATCGTCCGAGGACTTGAACAACGATCAATCCGCCAACAGGACCGGCAAGCCACACAAGGAGAGCTTTACGTGGAAGCTATCGGACAGCCCCGCGGCGCAGAAGCAACCAGCGGCACAATCCTCGGAGGCCTCACCCCCGCAAAGGAAGGCAGAGAAGCACAGCCGGAAGTCGAGCTCGTCGAGCGGTGAGATGGACAGGAAGAGGAGGGAGTCAAACGCGAGCAGAGGGTCCGACGGCGGTGACAGCAGCGAAGTGGTGGCGGAGGATTTCGCAGGGCCGAAGAGCCTGGCTCAGATCAAAGAGGAGAAGCGCAAGAACGAGGATTTGGAAGAGCCCGGCTCGGCATTCAAGGCCAAGAGAAAGCCGAGCGGCCAAGGTGGTGGCGGTGTTCGTAGGAAGCTATGTAATGGATCGAGCAGCGGCGCTCATGGCGGTGACGGTGATGGTGGCGGTGAGGGTGATGGTGGCGGTGAGGGTGACGGTGGCGGTGAGGAGGGCGAGGACGGTGAGAACGTGACGGGCATGGAGATCAACGGCGCAGATGCTGCCATGCATGCTGACGAGGACGAGTTTGCCCGGAAGCTTGCAGGATTGTTGTAACTCGGAGAGAAAAAAAACAAAAATTTACGAACAAAAACTCTGGTATAGTGGTGCGAGGGGTTTTGTGAGTTTTAGGCGGTGACACGGTGGCTCTCTCTCAGCCACCCAATCGGTCGGTTGGGATGTTCCAGCGCTAGCCCGGAAGTCTCTAGAATACAAGGTCTTTATAGTAGCACAGCATTATCGGGCTCTAGGGCTAGGGATTTTGGCCGCGAGAAGGAAGGAAGCGAGAGAGCGATGGCAGCGGCGGCGCACGTCAGTGCTTGCTCCGCGGTGTCGACGGTGTGCTCCTCCTCCGAATCGAAGAATGGCGCCTACAGTAAGCAGAGGAGTGTGTTTCTAGGTAGCAATCTCCAGGGACGGAGTTTCTCCGGGAGTTTGTATGCGCGAATGAGGCGCCAGGCGCATCGCGGCGGCAGAGTTGGGGGTCCTTTGAGGGTCGTGAGCGAGAAAGTGGTGGGCATTGACCTGGGAACCACGAATTCGGCTGTGGCGGCTATGGAGGGCGGGAAGCCCACCATAATCACAAATGCGGAGGGGCAGAGAACCACACCTTCTGTTGTTGCCTACACGAAGAATGGCGACAGGCTTGTGGGTCAGATTGCCAAGCGCCAGGCAGTGGTAAATCCCGAGAACACATTCTTCTCCGTGAAGAGATTTATCGGGAGAAAGATGTCCGAGGTGGACGAGGAGTCCAAGCAGGTTGCGTACACTGTTATCAGAGATGAGAATGGAAACGTGAAGCTCAATTGCCCTGCGATTGGAAAGCAATTTGCTGCCGAGGAGATTTCAGCTCAGGTGAGTAATCTATTCTTCTCTTTGGTCTGCTGTTAACGTTGAGTGATACGTTTTTTCTTTCTCTTGTTTGGCAGGTTTTGAGAAAGCTGGTCGACGACGCTTCCAAGTTTTTGAACGACAAAGTGAACAAGGCTGTCATCACTGTTCCTGCTTACTTCAATGATTCCCAGAGAACTGCCACGAAAGATGCTGGAAGAATAGCTGGTCTTGACGTGCTTCGTATCATCAACGAACCAACCGCGGCATCTCTTGCTTACGGGTTTGAGAGGAAGAGTAATGAGACAATTCTCGTCTTTGATTTGGGCGGTGGAACATTCGATGTTTCAGGTGAGAGGTCTATTACTGATCAAGTTTTGGTTCTTAACTCTGGAATCTGTTCTCTTCAGTTTTGGAAGTCGGCGATGGTGTGTTCGAAGTGTTATCAACATCTGGTGATACACACTTGGGTGGAGACGATTTTGACAAGGTCGGTTTTGTAGAGTCTGTTGTAAAGCTGAAACTAAAGTTTACTTGCTGCTTGAGCAGAGGGTTGTCGATTATCTCGCAGCAAATTTCAAAAAGGAGGAAGGTATTGATCTATTGAAGGATAAGCAGGCGCTTCAAAGGCTGACGGAGACCGCTGAGAAGACAAAAATTGAGCTGTCATCACTTACACAAACAAGCATAAGGTAATACGCTCTGTTTTCTCTAGTCGTCCTTGTCTCACAGAATTTGTCTTGGACCAGCTTGCCTTTCATCACGGCGACTGCGGATGGGCCGAAGCATATTGACACAACTATGACTCGGGCTAAGTTCGAGGAATTGTGTTCAGATTTGCTGGACAGGTAGTCTCTTTTTGTCTTTGAGTTACGTTTGCACATTCAATATCGTGTACTTCGCTTGCTCCCAGGTGCCGCACGCCAGTGGAAAATGCTTTGAGAGACGCAAAGCTGACATTCAAGGACATTAATGAAGTTATTCTTGTCGGCGGTTCTACTCGTATTCCAGCTGTTCAAGAGATCGTAAAGAGAATGACTGGCAGGGCCCCAAACTTGACTGTCAATCCCGATGAGGTTGTTGCATTAGGAGCTGCTGTTCAGGTAAAAATCTCGGTAATTGGTCTTGGTACTTTTACTGAGTATTTTAATTTCAGGCCGGTGTTCTGGCTGGAGAAGTCAGCGATCTAGTGTTACTGGACGTGACTCCTCTGTCATTGGGCTTGGAAACGCTCGGAGGCGTTATGACGAAGATCATCCCCCGAAACACCACCCTTCCAACGTCAAAGTCCGAGGTGTTCTCCACGGCCGCCGACAGTCAAACGAGCGTGGAAATCAATGTTCTCCAGGGCGAAAGGGAGTTTGTCAGGGACAACAAGTCCCTGGGAAGCTTCAGGCTGGAGGGCATTCCTCCGGCTCCAAGAGGCGTGCCGCAGATCGAGGTGCGGTTCGACATCGACGCGAACGGCATCTTGTCAGTAAGTGCGACTGACAAAGGAACCGGCAAGAAGCAAGACATTACGATCACTGGCGCCAGTACTCTTCCACAAGACGAGGTAAAAACACAAGTTTTTCTCTCGCCAGATCTTGGTTTCTAACGCGAATACGAATACACGCAGGTGGAGAGAATGGTGAACGAGGCCGAGAAGTTCAGCAAGGAGGACAAGGAGAAGAGAGAGGCAGTGGACGTGAAGAACCAGGCCGACTCGCTGGTGTATCAAACCGAGAAGCAACTCAAGGAGCTGGGCGACAAAGTCCCGGCCGACGTCAAAGGCAAGGTGGAAGACAAGGTGAAAGCACTCAAGGACGCCATCGCCAGTGACAACACGCAAAAGATCAAGGATGCCACCGCCGACTTGAACCAGGAAGTGATGCAAATCGGCCAGTCCTTGTACAGCCAACCGGGAGCTCCAGGTGGTCCAAGCCCCGGCGGGCCACCTCCGGGTTCCAGTGGGCCTTCTTCTTCGTCCTCGTCTAAAGGCTCCGGTGGAGACGAAGTTATCGATGCCGATTTTACTGACACCAGCTAGAGACTCAACACACACACGCAACGCAAAGCAAACACGCGAGAGATAAGTATGGCTTTCCTTCGTTTTCTCGTCTTTCCTTCTTTTCTATAAGCCGTGCGAGTGGGAAAGCTTCACAGATTCCTATGGTGTCAAATTTTTGTTAAATAGAGGAGGAGAAACAAAGCTTGCAAAAAGTTCTGAAAACAATGTTATGAGATTATCGACATTTCTTCTATATGGGAAAAGGAGAAGAGTTTGTTTATATGGTTTTGTGCTTTTATTTTTTGATTCCCTAGGTAGGTGCTAAGAGCACAACAATGTCAACACAAAGCTAAGTGTCTGGACTGTGTTCCTGACTGGTAGCTTGGGCCATGACACAAATGCCCAGGGGGCTTTGTACGGCGGTGACAGAGGGACTTTGTACGGACTGGTTGTCATGTTTCTCGATCGTATCTGGCAATCAAAGCTGTGAGTTCTCGATCATAACACCTCGCTAAAGCTTCCAGCTTCAAATCGATTTCTTTTTATGTATGCGAAGAGGAACGTTTGTTTGTGCATTTGGTAAGCTTAAAGCTGGAAAGCCCAAGCGAGCAGTGACAAAAAAGTAAGGACAAAGATGGTCCACACAGCAGACAGTACCATAGTGGAGGGGGTAATTTAAAAAATCCCCAAAAATGCAAAAACAATGTAAAAAAAAAAGAGTTTTTACTTGTAGCTTTTGGTGTTATGTTCCAGAACTTTCCGGCCGTGTATCGGAATATTTTTGGATCGCAGTAGTACCTACGGAGATAAGAACGCAATTGAGAGTTTTTATCAAACTGCACGAGGCATTTTGTACGTCATGGTAAAAACAATGCAAAGCTGCCGTATTTGAAACCATAGAAAATCGTAAGAAGTAATAGAATAGATTACAAAGGTGATGTAACCCTCACAGAGATCTTCGTCTAACACCTTGGTTTGATTTGAAATGGACAAAGATGGCGGTTTAGAAAATTGCCAATGCACCAACAAATTACAGCCGCTTTGTATAATCAGCGTATTCTTTTTTTTTCCCTTGTGATGCGGCTGCTACAACCATCGCCCTCCCATCAGACCTTCCTTTCACATACTCCCAGTCAAGAAAAGCAGCGTCAGCATCCGACGTGGGGCCCACCTCCAGCTCATCGCCCAAGTGGCTCCGTCGTGGCACTACCCGTTCTGCCCGGATGTGCCACTTTGCTGCCCAGCGAAACCGGGGCAGCACGGTCAGCACGGTCAACTTTATTTTAAAAGAAGGTCACGACACGTCAGCAGCTCGATATATAAATCCCACCATAGCAAGCCCTATTGTAATGCCGCCATACGTTCTTCGTATAGTCCACCAACGACTACTTTTGCGTAGGCTACAGTATAGCGATAGTGCGCATATGCTTCGCGAATCTTTCCGTACGTAGAGCGCAATAGTGACTGGTGACATTTTTGTGTGTTTGTTTCAATCCCGGGGAGGGGAGGGGATGAATTTCTTCCCAAGCAAGAGGGCGTGAGAGGGGCGCGCAAGGGCGCAAGGGCTGGGGACTAGCGCCATCGCGGTGGCAGCATGAATCGCAGGTCAGATCTCGCTCCGGCAGCTCGGCAAGCGATCTAGCGATCTAGCGCCATCGAAATTTGGATGAAATATCGCTCTGTCTCGCTCCAGGCGCAGGGTTTTGGCAGCCGCTGGACGAGATTTCTCGGCGCATTGCTGGATCTTTGGCAGCGCTCGCCCGCGGCGGCATTGTCATTGGAATTCAGGGCTCTAGCAGGCACGAGGACCTAATCAACAAGCGCGCTCCTTCCAAGGGATTTTTCCAGCCATGTCAGAGGATCATCAGCATAAAATCCAGGAACAGCTGCCAGAAATCGACTACTGCCCGAACGATAGCCCGCCATGGCGTAAGCTCCATTCCTCCTCTCTCTCTTCGACCTTAAGAGCTCTTCTCTGATTGTGATGCTGTTTCTTGCAGCTCAAACTATCCTCCTTGGATTCCAACATTTTCTAACAATGATAGGAACCACGGTGCTCATTCCAAGCCTAGTGGTGGGCAATATGGGCGCTACCAACGTAAGCCATAGCCATGTCTTGGCATTGCAATGGGGTTCGTTTGATTACTCACCACTACTGTATCAAATCGATGCAGGAACAAAAGGCTCGGGTGTATCAGACATTGCTGTTTGCTTCGGGGATAAACACTTTGATCCAAACGTTTGTTGGAACAAGGTTGCCCGTCGTTGTAGGTGGTTCCTTTGCGTATATTATTCCCATAACATCGATTACCAACTCGCCAAGGCTACGATCCATATACTACGATCACGATGTAAGTGGAAAAAAATCGTGCCCTCGGATTCGTTGATTCTGAAGGGTTGTTCTTTCCAGAGATTTGTTCACACGATCAGGGCAGTTCAGGGTGCAGTCATTCTTTCCTCTATCTTACAGATAATTTTAGGATTTAGTGGTCTATGGGGGATCATGTTGAAGTGAGTGCTTGGGTCTTCGTGTGCTATACAGACTTATATTTGTTACAGGTACATTTCTCCTACAACTTATGCGCCTGCAATTATTTTGCTTGGTCTCGGCTTTTATGAGTATGGCTTTCCAGGAGTACGTGGTTTCTTCAAAATCTAGTTGATTATATATAGTGGCTTTTCTGCAGATAGCCAAGTGTGTAGAAATCGGACTGCCAGCGTTGATCATTCTTCTCCTCTTTTCTCAGGTAAGCTGTCGTTAACTTCGTAGTGAACGTCTGAAGTGTTGTGGGCTCTGGCAGTATTTTAAAGCTTTGTCAAGAAAGAAGCTACCAGTTTTTGAGCGCTTCCCGATTATCGTGACAGTAATAATATCATGGGCCTATGCATATATTTTGACTGTAAGTGGAGCATATAGAGCCGCGACAGAGAAAGGAAAAGACCATTGCCGCACGGATCGTGCTCATCTAGTTGGATCTTCTCCCTGGTACGTAGACATTTATACTGTTCTTCGCAAACAGGCTGATGAAACATGAATTGTTATACAGGATAAGACTTCCATATCCGTTGCAATGGGGCGCTCCTACATTTGATGGGGGCTATACATTCGCCATGATGGCTTCCGCCCTCGTTGCTCAGATTGAGGTGTGCTTTTTTTCTATCGAGTTTTGGTGCTGAGACCGTAGCGTTTTCTTTTATTTCAGTCAACTGCAGCCATTTATGCTGTCTCACGGCTCGCAAACGCCACGCCGCCTCCTCCTTTTGTTGTTGGTCGTGGAATTGGATGGTTGGTAAGACATTTAGTATTCAGTCCAGTGCATTATTATGGCTAACTTCTTTCTCAACACAAACAGGGATTCGGGACGCTTCTGAACGGCTTGTTTGGAACCGTGGTAGGACCAACTATATCACCGTAAGGATTTTCTTAGACCACATTCTAGATCACACGGTGACTTGGTCTTGTTCTGTCCACAGAGAAAATGCGGGTCTCGTTGGAATTACTCGTGTTGGTAGTCGTCGCACGGTGCAAATCGCGGCGATTTTTATGCTGGTCTTTTCGATCTTAGGTAAGCACGCTTGCAAAGTCGTATCTGGATGCTCACATTCTCCACCTGCAGGTAAATTTGGGGCAGTGATAGCTTCCATACCACAATCGATTGTCGCTGCTATCTACTGTGTGACGTTTGCGGTCTTAGGTGAGATATAGACATCTTGCAAGCCTTTTTTTTTTTTTTTTTTTCTCAAATGCTTCTTGTCTTCTTTTCCTTTTACTCGTGGCAGCTGCCGTTGGGATTTCGTATTTGCAGTTTGTCAACTTGAACATCACCCGGAATCTTTTTATCCTCGGCTTCGCCCTGTTCATGGGATTCTCCGTCCCACAGTACTTCTACGAGTTCAGATCGACCAGCAACCATGGCCCAGTTAACACAAATGCGGAATGGGTAATTTTTCTTGTCACTGTTTTAACTCGTCTAAAACGTTTGTTTCGCGCTTGGACAGTTTAACGACATACTCAACACCTTATTTTCTTCAAACGTTCTGGTGGGATTTGTGCTGGCTGTGCTCCTGGACAGCACCTTGAAAGCGCATAAGAAGGATCGGGGAATGGGGTGGTGGAAGAAGTATCACAAGTGGGATCATCCAACAAATGAAGAATTCTACAAGCTGCCTCTCAATATGAACAGATATTTTCCTCCTCCACACTACTAAGAGACCAATAAAATTTCGGTGACCTTTTTTAACTGTATAGAATCTCCAAGATTTGCATTTTCAGCCACTCAAAATGCAAGCATAAACCAGCTTGAAAGCTTTCTGAAGTGACTTTCTCATACGAAGATCACCAAGAACTTGGAGACATTCTTTTCTTTTTTTTGGAAGAACAAAGTTTCATTAAAAACATGCAAAGTTAAACATGTATTTTGTTTTGTTTTTTAGGCTGCAATCAAATAGAATAGAACAGAATAGCCTTTTACATATTTGTCTAATATTTGTTTTGGTTTGTGGTATTTGGTGATTTTCAAGAGGAAGATTGCCATTGGGTGGTTCATGAGAGATTGAACTCGGTAATAAGTGCACTCTCAAGTGTGTTTGAATGTATGTCTCCCTCGTAGCAGAGTTGGCAAAGTCGCTCCTCCCACTGTAGCCATGGTTCGTGATAAGGATCAGCATCGTTGATATGTATTCTATCAAGTGGGAGATTAGGTGTGGCTATCTTCCTAGAACTTAGCCACCTTAGGAGAATGACTCCCAAACAGTCAATGTAAGCAGCCAAGATCATCTAATTGCAGTAAATTAATCAACTCTTTTCAACCATGTTTTGAAGAGATAGTTGAAGGGCTGTATAAGCTTGTTACCACCAGGAACATGGAGAGTCGGGTGCAAGCATGGCGAGCTTGTTCCTGCGGTCACATGACTTTTGACCATTCTTAAAGTTAGTTAAATGACACATACAAAGCCATAATATTCTCTGTTGCAGTAAAATTCTCAATAATGACTAATCTAGATCAAGGGGAGGGAAGTGTTTTTTAGTGGATTTGCTGGGACAACCATGTAGAGATGTCCTCTTGATAACATAGATGGAACAAGCCTTAACAGGCAGGCACACGCTAGTTAAATTGATTGCACTGTTGCCGACCGTTGGTCGACCAGCCTAGCATGGTTACAAGTGGAAAGTCGCTCCATTCAGCTGCAAGCCTGTCTCTGAGAGAGTCTGGAACACAAGTACTTGGTTCATGTCTCCAACCATAGCCCATGAGAGCACTCCACAGTGTCAAGTTCGTG